CCCTCCAGCTCCTACTAACCATCAGTCTGTTTCTTTTGGCATGGAAAACCTTTTGTTTTTTCTTTTATAGCAGTGGTCTCATGCAATACTTGTTCTTTCGTGATTGACTTAACTTCACTCGGCTTAACCATCCTCCCCATCCATCCATGTCATGAGGCGTTCCACAGTTTCATCAATATTCTTTAGTGATGCCTAGTGTTCCATTGTGTGCATGTACCAATGTTTCTTTATCCATTCTTCCATGATAGTTTATCATATGTCACAGATTTTCCCTGAGTTTAAATGATATTTTTCTCTTTTGAATTTCCAGTTCCACCGGCACTCTTTTATGATGTCCTTAAAGCTGGCCAGTCATTTATAGCTTTATTGTGGGATGGTAAATGTAGTGCTTCCATGATCAGAGTATTAGCTTCCTGAGAATAAAACTCTGTCTTAAGTTTACATATTTAATATTTATGATAGTGGATGTTTTAATAAACAGTACTTTACCAAATGCTTTATTCCTTTGGAAAACTATCCAATTAATATAGTAGAAGCTTTTTAGGGAGTGGTTTATGCATGGTAGATAGAAAATGGAGTTCCCTCTGAATTATCTGACACTATAGCTGTATAATATCTTAAGATTGTAACAAGAAATGAACCATCCAGCGTGGACCCAGTATTAGGGAAGTATTATGGGGGAGGGTGGAGGGAGGTATTTTACCTTAGCAAAAATGCCTAGATATAAAGATCAAAGAAGTCACTAATGTAGAGATTAGGATCACTATAGGAAAACAAAAGTAGCAGCATATACCTTGAAGAGACCTGTTTTCAAGGGAAATGGAAGAAGAAATAGAAAAAGGCATTCATTCATGCTGAGAAAGCATATTGCAATCTTAAAAGCTATTAAAACTTTCTAAGATTGCACCAACCACTCAAATGCAAGCACAGTTGTTTTTACCCTCTCTTCCCTCTTTGCATAATTAAAAAATTATAAGCATAATTCTTATATCTCAAAACCAAAGCAAAATAAAATACAAATTTGTTGCTATCTAGTTGGTTACAACTCTCGGGGCCCTTACTGGGCAGACTAGAACTGCCCCCATAGGATTGTAAGCCTGTAAATCTTCACAGAAGCACACTGCCACATCTTACCTGCGCAGGGCCTCTGGTGTCTTTGAACCACTAACCTTTCAGGGAGCTTAACCACAGCACCACCAGGGCTCCTACTTCTTGGCTACACATGCTATTTATTGATTTGAAAAAAATAAAATAACTCCTCTCTCTAGGCAAGATCTGAGAAGCCAATGTTGATTGATTTCTCACCCTTCAAAGTTAAATTGAAAAGATGGTTTATTGAAACTGTAAAAACAGGAGCAATCAGCCTCAGGTTACCCCAGTCCTCTAGAGGCTAAAGAGGATGCTTGCTACCTGGTCATTTACAGAGCAGTTGAGTGCATCACTACTTTGATGTGGCTAGTGGCTAGAATCTAAATTAAGGTGACTAGACATCCTGCTTTTTAACAATTTTTCCCACGTCCCGTGGCATTTTAAAAAGTCCTGATTTTTGGAAAGAATGCACGACAAGCTAGGGTATACGGTTTTTGGCTACCATGTGGCTATTTCGCCAGGATATGAGTTTTAGCAATAGTGTCCCGCTTTTGTCCCGCTTTACCAATGTTAAAATCTGGTCACCTTACTCTAAATGTGTCTCGTGTGTCACTCTGCTCTGCTCAGTCTAGGAAGAGGTGAAAGAGCTCTGAATCCCCAAAGATGGCAGTCATGTTTGGCAGTTAGGTGAAATCATTGTAATGTAGCCCCCTTTGCTGTGCTAATTCCTACTTTCCCATTTTTGTTGTGCAGTTCAGTCAAGTTGATCTTAGCTCTAGCCACCTGGGTGAGAGCAGACAGTCTCTATGGGAGCAGAGTGCCTGCTCTGTCTCCACCAGGCTGGTCTGAATCACTGACCTTTCGGTTAGCTGCTGAGTGCCCAACCCCTGTGTCCCCAGGGCTTCTTGACTTTGCTGTAGTTGGCCTTTTGAAAATAGGTTGGAAACAGATTGACGCGCCTCATGGAATCAGTGCTTTCTTACATGGATGTTTATTAGTCCTAAAATTACCTAAGGTTTTATGTTTATCATTTTGCTTCGTTTTTCTGTGTTTTTTGAAGTTCTCATTGTATCCTTGCTTTGGTCTCCTCTTGCTGCTGTTAAAACAAACAGACAAACAAAACACTACAGCGTGACTTTGAAACAATAGACCTTCTCACTCACAGTTCTTATAGTGCCAGAAGTCTGAAATCAGTCTTAAAGCACCAAAGTCAAGGTGTTGGCAGGGCTGTTCCCTCTAGCGCTGCCAGGGGAAAGTTCCCTCCTGGGGAGAATTTTTCTGCTTTTCGTGACTGCCGCCGTTCCTTGGCTTGTGATCACCTCACTCCAGTCTCCGCTGCCATGGCCACATCGCCTCTCCCGTCTGTAGTCAGACCTACCTCATAAGAACACTTAGGTTTACATGGGGGGGAGGGGGGGCCCTCCCTGGAAAACCCATCTTCAGACTTTTAGCTTGATCACGTACGCAAAGTCCCTTTTGCTGTATAAGATAACAGGGTCTGGGACTTAGGAAGTGGCTATCTTTGGGGACCATCAGTCAGCCTACCACGTTACCGACCCACCCGGATATGTCCAGGTTTGGTTCTGTTGTACTTGGGCTCGCTTGAAGACTTGTGAAATCACCGCACAATTAAAACTGCATGAAGAACACCTGTATGCTCCTTGCTCAGATTTGTCGCATGTTCACGTTTCACCCCATTTGCTCTCTCTTGTTCTCTCTGTGTATGTACCTTTTCTTTAACGACGTTGACATTGCTTAAGTATAGAGTCTCTTTTTCTTTATTTTTAGAGTCTTTTTTAATGGAATATAATTCACCTTCTATGCAAT